ACCGCCAGAACGTAAAGTAACTTGCGTCGAGTCACGCGCCGTGCCCTGCCCTGCCCTGCCCTGCCTCCTAGTGAAAGTGAAGGCTGTCAGCCTGTTGGCCGTAATCAAGCGTGCCTACAGTAGCCACCGGAGCGTCGAGCAATGGCCGCCGCTGCTTCGCTAGGAGCATCGCCGCAGACACCTTCGTCCCGACCTACACCACATGCACCGACACATGTCTCCTCCAGGAAAGAGGAGGGTGGTGATGGTCTTGCCAACGACTTGATACGCTACACTCCCGTCCCTACCCTCATTCTAGACGCTTCCCTTCATGTCCGCTTCATCTCAGACAGCTACAGCTTGGTCTCAGGCGCGAGCAACAATGACGGGCTGGTAGGACGGCATGCCCATAACTTATTCTCCCACACCGACGCCCTCTACCACCTTGCCTCTCCCCAGAACCTCATTCGGCTGGCCATCGACACGGGCTGTCGGCAGCAGGTAAAAGTGCTCGACGCTGGCACCGTCTGGAATCTGCGCATCATCCCCATACGCCGCCATGATAGTAGCCTGTGCTACGTCCAAATGGAGTATCATGACATGACCGAGGAGCATCGGCGGCAGCTCGAGCTGGAAGAGCGCGTGCACGCAAACGAGACGTTCAAGATCCTAGTCGAGACGGTCAAGGACTACGCCATTTTCATGCTTGATCCAGATGGCTTTGTTGCGACCTGGAATGCAGGGGCGCAGGCGTTCAAAGGCTACACCAAAGCCGAAATCATAGGCCAGCACTTCTCCAATTTCTACAGCCAGGAGGACCGCGACAACGGCAAACCAGCGCGAGAACTGCGGGATGCGCTCCGTGAAGGACGGTGCGAAGATGAAGGATGGCGATATCGCAAAGATGGCTCAAGGTTCTGGGCCAACGTCGTCATCACCCCCATCTATCGAAATGATGTCCTCATCGGCTTCTCCAAGGTCACGAGGGACCTGACGGAGAGGCGCAAGGCGGAAACCAGTCTGATTACTGCCTACGAAGAGGCCTCGAATCTCAAGTCGGAATTCTTGCAAAACATGAGCCACGAGATTCGCACGCCAATGCACGGCATGCTATCGGCCTTGACATTACTATTAGACACCAAACTGGATCCCAATCAGCTGGAACTGACGCAGGTCATCCAGGAATCTGGACAGGTACTCCTCCAGGTCATCAACGACATTCTCGACTACAGCAAGCTTGCATCTGGCAGCTTCTCCATCAGCAATGACGTGATCAGTGTCACCGATATTGTGCAATCAGTCTTTCGGGCACATCAAGCTTGCTACAGTCCTCATGTCAAGCTTGAGAGCTTCCTCGACACGCAACTGCCCACCTCAGCCGAGGGGGACGCCCTACGATACCGCCAGATTGTGCAGAACCTGCTCTCCAACGCCCTGAAATTCACAGAGGAAGGCTATGTGCACATTGTCGCTCGCCTGGAAAAAGAAGACGACGAGTACTTTACAATCCTAACAGAGGTGGTCGACACAGGCATTGGTGTGCCTGCGAGTGGCACCTCCACCTTATTCACCCCCTTTACCCAATTCGACAACTCGGCCACCAAACGATACAAAGGAACAGGCCTGGGCCTCAGCATCTGCAAGAGCCTAGCCGAACTCATGGGCGGCACCATTGGCTTCCACCCCAACCCCGAAGGCCGCGGAAGCGTCTTCTGGTTCACCGCCAAGCTGAAAAAATGCAAACAACTAACCATCATCGACGCCCTGCCCTTTAAACTCGACGCCCTCGCCCTAGACCCTCAAACCCCCAAGCCCCCTTCTCCCATGGAAACCCTCAAATCCGCTGCTGCAGGCACCCGCATCCTACTCGCAGAAGACAACCCCATCAACCGCAAAGTCATGCTGAAAATGCTGGCTGGCCTCGGCTTCCCCGCCATCGACACCGCCATTGACGGCCACGACGCCGTCGCCAAGATTCTGCGCGACCCGCTCGCCTACGACTTTGTCCTCATGGACGTCAATATGCCGGTGCTCGATGGCGTCAGTGCAACAAAGCAACTCCGCGCCAGCGGCGTGGCGATGCCGATTGTCGCCATGACGGCGAATGCGCTCAAGGGCCAGGCGGAGTCGTATATTGCAAAGGGTATGACGGGGTATATTGCTAAACCTGTGGATCGCAATCTTTTGGTTAAGCTGCTGCTCAAGTGTTTGAATCGCGAGGGTACGGGGTGAAAGCCCGGGAGGTAAAAGGGCGTAGAACGACGTGCGAAAATCCCAACACTCCACCCCCCCCCCTCCATACTCGAACGATCTCAAACTCCGCACCACACGCGTCTCAGAATTCCTCTTGTATCACCCTGTGCAAAGACACAGTACACATGCCACAGAGCAAAGATTCGCGATACCATCTTCGCAACCACCCGCGCTCCTCTTGTCTCGTCTTGCCAAACAACGCAACACACCCAACCCCCACATCAATCTCTCCTCCTAGTAGCCGATTCCCAGCCACATAGCCACACAGCCCCCGCCCACGCCGTCTTCCGCGGCCGTATATAGCAAGACTAAGAGCACGTTTCCAATAAGTCGCAGCTAGTTAGTTATCCAGCCAGCGCCACGGATTTGGTAGATGGACTTTAGATAGATGGACTCTGAAATACCATGATAGTTAATGAGAAAATGTGGGGTTGATGCTACCTCGTTGTTGTGGGGTTGGAGGTGGGGATGTTGGGTGTCATGT